ATAGTAAAACACATATCATCACCTTTTTTAGCATGCTAACTGGGGTTACCATCTGATCCATCCATGTAGGAGTGTTTCAGTATGCTAATCGCCTTAGAAATATTCTGCACATTGAAGTCTAAATTAGTAATTTCACTGGAAGCTACTGAGATTAGTTCTGATCATCTTAATGGTTTTTCTTTAGTTAATGAGGAACAGAAGGGGTCGCTAAATGGTTCCGTAACAAGTTTAGGTCCCTCGTATACTTGTGTGTTCCTATTAAATAGGCTTCCTCCTTTTAATTCAGTAAGTTAGATTTTATTTTGAAGGAGTTTGGAGGATTCATTATTATGTTCGATAGCACGTTTTTCCTGAGCGACTGTTTTTTGCGTGCGTATTGCCTCTGCGTGGACAAATATTTCTGTCGTCGTAACTAAAAACGAAAAGTCATTAAGGTTGTGGAGTCGAGTAAAATGTCTTTGAAGACGTCTTCGCGTAGAGACCGGTACATACAGATATTTAAAAACTTAGGTTTGCTGAATTCTAAAGATGCTATTTTGTTGATGATATTTATGATGTTGTAATAGAGTATACTAATTAGTGTTTCGGTTTTGTTTGCAATATAAAAGTTCCCTCAATCAGTGCTTCTTAGGTAATAGTGGAAGTTTTTCCAATCTACTTTGTGATAGTTCCTATGAAGTGTCACAGTTTTGCGCCTACCGGTTATGGTTTTTATATTAAGCGTATATATGACAAGGTTATGATAGCTATCTGGAAACGTTTTTCCAATATACAGTTTTAGGGATGAGACTACTGGTAAAAAAAACTAAGTCCAAGATATATTGATGTGTGGTAGGGCTACTGACATACTAAGTACACTGTCCAAGCTCTAGACATTTAATAAATGATTCATAACGTTTCGGAGCATTGACTGGAAACCAAGAAATTTCAGGTATGTTGAAGTCACTACAAATGAGCTTGCCTGTGAATGGAAGGGATGATGTTAGTGTGAATGTCTCTGATAATAATGCTATCTCATCTATTGATGCGTTACGTTGAAGGTAGACACAGCCTAACATTAAGGATATGGAATTCGATGGCTTTAAAAGAATCCACACCGAATCCCTCAGTTTGTTTATTTCAGGCATATCACATAATAGTGAGTTTAAGCTGGAGTGAGCGTAAATAGGGCATCCCCCTACCTAGTCCTTTCAATCTATCACTTCCATATAGGAAATAGTTAGCAAGAGAAATACTTAGGTCGGAAATATTACTGTTAGTTCATGCTTCAGATATCATTATAAGCGATGGTTTATATATGGATACAAATAGGACTTAATCCGTCTTTTCACTGCAGATCGACCTAGCGTTGATAAGACACATATTAAAAAAAATGGCCTACTAAATTAAAATGAGTGAGGATATCTTGATTAAATTTGTCATCATACTTGAGGGTGTGATATGGTTTTGATATGAGGGACTGAATTTTCTTCATTAGCTCTGTATTTTGATAGCTAGAGTTAGTGGGGATGTATCAAATGAGCTAATGAATTTACTTAGGTGGTGAGAGTATTATGTGATGGGAACTGTACGGGGGAAGGGAGTTTATGCTCTGTGTTCTGTGATATGAAATGACATGGGTTGCATGCTTCAACAGGGGTTCTATTAGGGGCCGTATTCCAAAAAACATCTGGTTGATTGTAAACTGTACTGTTTTTGCAAAATAGTTTTGAAAATTAAGCTTGAGCCTCTGTTATAGCTCTTTACGTTAATGTGAGCATGAGGGAGGCCGCTGTACGTAACTGAGAGTAGTTACGACTGTTATTATAAATGGAAGCCGCTTTTATGTTGTGATTTAGTACTGAAGGGTGTGGAAAGTTTTCTTAGCGAGAGCAGTTATGAGGCCCATGATATCAGAGTAGAACTCACGAACATTGTATTTACCGAAAAACTGTTATTCTAAGTTAGAGTCTAATGCGTTATCATAATTAGTAAGTTGATCAAGTATGAAAGTCTTTTGTAAGGTTCAATTTGTCCTGGAACCAACGGGTTTTGAGATTCTACATTAGTCAGTAAATTAATTTGAATTAGATTTCTTGGCCTTTTACCACTACGTTAGTCGACTGATTGTCCTTAAGTTAAGTATGATCAATTTCCATCCTTCAACAGCGATAACGACCGCTTGTCCCAAATCTCTGACGTGATGAATTTAGAATAGCGATGTGACGTAAACGGGTGCAAATTTTACATTCTGTATGTCATTCTCACTAAAAAGACTAAAAGTATTTATAAAATACTTTACACAGTGATATTATGGTTAAGCAGAGACTTCTAGTTAAATGCCTTTTGGCACGACGGATGTGATTCATTTCCAACTCTTGAAAGTTTAGTGTCCTTTCTTCTTAAAATCATTGTGAAGTGTTTTTTTGAAGCACGGTAGTAAACTGAAAGGTTTCTAGATGGAGCCTTGAATAGACACTGAAATGGTACTCCGGACTTTGAAGTCGCAAATTTGGTGCCGCGGCTAGTTTAAGTGGGGCGTTACTACGAGTACTAACGCAAGTCGACCTTCTTTATTCTGGTCATTTAGGTGTTCTCTATATTTACGCGTTCAGTATAATTCCAAGGTTTATTTAGCGTTAAACTTTTGAGGATCATGTCTCACATAAAATATGGTGGAAGACAAATGGAAGTCTGCCCCATTTCTATAAACAGAGCACGCGCAATTTTCGAACAGGAAATTTAGTCCTCACGTGATTTGTATTTCTTGAACTTTTGCTGTGTTCTTACACAACTTAAGTACCATTTGTGATTTGAAGAATCTATTCTATTTTGTAGATTACTCTTTTTGAGTTTCACCCAACTAAGTAGTTAATTGTGGTTATGCCTCAGTTTACCAGTCGGTTTTATAGTTATACCACGTAAAAACTAGTTTTAGCTTATCATAACCCGTTTTTATCCATTTTCGCCCGTTGTAGTGTACTGTTTCTTTCGATGGCCCTAGGCTTTCGGCTTGTATTTATAATACAGTTTATATCAATAGTCATGAAAAATTCATGCGAAAGACCTGATTGCCGTTTTACTGTTATATTTGGCATGCAGTGCGACAACTGCAAAGGTTGGTTCTACGAAGCGTGCACAGATCTCACTGCAACTGCCCATAGCAGATCCAGCGAGTCGGATCTTAGGTTGATATGTGTGATATGCAACACGGATACTGTAGTTTTGCTGAGTAACATCATTACCCTACTGACAGGTCTGAGGAACTCAGCACCATCGTAACGTCGACGGTAATTGACTCCCTCAACAAACTTGGGTCCCCCTGCACCGACTCCTTAAATGCAACAGTGGTTCCCAAAAACTCTGTAAGTGGTTGGACCCACGTTAACAGAGTTAAAAAGGACCATGCGTCAAATGCTGTTTCTAGGTCAAGAAAAACTATCATTGTCGGACGTCGATAAGCATGTCTGTGCTCTAAAACCCAACGAATAGTGAATATGTGGTCGATACAGCCACGACCAGGTCGAAGCCAGCTTGATTTTCTTGTGTTTGCAGTTCACGAGTCTTTGTTAGGCGCCCGATAATTATTGAGACTAGTATTGTAGATGCAATGTCAGTCAAACTAATCCCTCTATGGTTATCACAGGATGATTTCGGCCCCTTCTCATATAATGGGACAGTCGGAAGTTGTGAGCAGCCGGATGGAATTACTTCCAAATCCCAAATTCTAGCTAAAATATTAGTCAACCTAATCGTTAAAATTGGACCACCATATTGAAAGACGTCCGAACCAGCTGCTCTTCCTCGTTTCAGATTAGCTATAGCCTTTTGAACTTCAGGTAGGGTCGGGGGACCTCTATCAATGTTCCATTCATACTGTTTGGGAATGGTGGGTAACTAGAGTAGCTGAAGGCCAGTCAAAGTGTTCACGAATTGGTATGTTCTCTAATTGTATCTTGGTTGCCTTATCCTTTCCATAATCTTCATTAGTGCCGTTAATTCCTCTACTACTTTGGGATTTATTCTGACGATTTCATGTCTGTCCAAAAGGGCTGTCGCAACTTGAACCAATGTACACTTGTACCAAGTTCTACGTCATATTTTACTGACTGGCCATACCGTGTGCTTCGCTTTTCTTGAATTCGCAAGTCTGATACCAAATCTATGAAAAAAGGATTTACATCTTCCTAATGGTTCACTTTATTTACAGTTGCCACATGTGTGACCACAGCATAGGCAGTCATTGTTGTCATTCACACAAAGCCGATGATTCCCCATCGTTTAGCTTGTACAGGTTTATTGATATACATAATGTAGAATGTTTGAATGAATCCGTTTCTGGAAGTGGTAAACTTGTTTTCAAGCCTTATGAGGTATGCTTACTGTTTCATAATTAATGTGCTTAGGATCGTAAAGATTCAACTGTTTATGTTGAAAGTGATGTTGATCAGGAGTTGTTATTTAACATACCGTTTACTGGAAATATAAAAGTAATGAGTATTATTATATCTGGTGCTGATACCGAACAACATCCAAGTCAAGTGTCGTTGTATAAAAATAAACCTTTTATGACATTTGAAGATTTAAATGTAAGTTTATTTTAAATTAAATATAATTTGATGCCAAGAAAATAGGCTGAATGTGAACAATCACTCGAACTAACTATTGATCCAAATGGTGAAGTGATATATCCATTGAAAATTTCACGCTTTTCTAATGTGCAAACACTGAGCTTACATTTCAGTGCTAATTACGGTGGTGATACAACACGAATTCACTACATTGGCTTGCGGGGAGATTATACTCCAGCACCGAGACGAGAAGCCGTTATTACTAATTACGAATTAACTCCAAATGTTTCCGATTTAAAAGACAACATATTACAAACTCAGAGTCGTTTTGTTGAATAAATATAAAAGTCTTGGGTTGTCACGTATTTTTTCTTCTTTCATCATTTTATGCGTATCATTTTTCACTGAATAATAATATTATCTTTTAGAAAACATAAATTTAAAAGAAACATGAATTTCACCTTCGACTTAGTTCAAAACATCTCTCAACTGCTGTCACCTCTAATAACTGAAGATGAATTAAAATATCTTGAAAAACTTCCAAGAGGACCTTTATCTAGTAAACCGTCTAATAAAGATACTTTTGTTCCTAGTCTATTGAAAAATGCAGAAGATGAAGTTCTACGTTTATATTATAAGCAGGAATACTTTAGAAAAGCCTATAATGATACACTTGAACGAATGAATACTTTAGCTAACAGTCTGCCATCATATGCTCTTGACTATATTACAACGCCAGGAGATCATGAAGACGTAATTAACAAAGAAGGTGGAGAGGAGGAGGATATTCCACTTGATCCTGATTATATTAATTTTATGATGAAAACTATACAACACCGTCGAAATCGTGATAATATTGAATCAAATTTATACGATATTCAATCAATGTTGAAAGCACCACCTCGTAAATTGAATAAATCTACAGATATTCAAGCAATTGACTCTCAAGTTGAAATGCTTGAAGCTTCTCTATTACATTATTATGAATTTTTATCACCATGTCGTGATTCACCAGTATGGCCTGTTTTACCATTAAAACGAAGTTTGTAACCATTTAATTTCTTTTTTTTAATCTTATACAAGCACTGATTATAAATATTTTCAAACAACTTATCTTTTCCTTACATTTTTGGAATGCTATTTGTTGATATTCTCTCACTTATGATATTGATATTGCAGACAATGAATAAACCAATTAACAGTGTATTAGATTGAAACAAAAGAAAATCATATTACTGAAGATTCAATTATTTATTCGGAAATTCCTGTTGTTATTATCATAATGGGTGTACGAGGGTTAACAACATACTTACAAAGTGATCCACGGAATTTTGTTGAATATCAATTACATAATACCACTGTTATTATTGATGGATTGAATTTTTTAAACTTCTTATATTTCGATTCTGGATTATATGCACAATTTAATGGAGAATATTTAGCATTCAGTGGAGTCATTAGTCGCTTTATCAATTCATTAAGGCGCTGTAATATAAACCCTATTTTTGTCCTAGATGGATGTCATGACGTGAGTTCTTTTTATTGGTTTGAGTGAGTCTTTTTTATGCAAATCAATAATTAAATACGATTTTGTACTTTAAGCCCTATTTCCATGGTGTTTTAAAGACGTCAAAAATGTACAGAGTCAGTCTTAATCACTGTAGGGTTTCACTGAACTTTATCAAAAGTATTTTTATAGTCTGGGATGACTGTGACCACGGCCACTGCGTACCTCATTATGTTGTGCTGGATAATGTAAGTGTAGGTTGGAAGAAAGCTACGGATAGATAAACCAAGACGTGTTTTCTGTTGACGAAGTTATTGACAATTGATCTGAGCTATGTTAGTCAGTGTAGTATACCTGGTTTAGGTCTGTAGGATAATTGTGGTTACTTTTTGAAGGCATTAATTGATGTAAGTCAGAATCGATTTCATCAGTTCATATACACTCATCCTTTATCTTTCTCTGTATCGTGAGTTTTGATCATATTCGACAATATTTGTAGATTTTTTAAAGAGTTTGGTAAAGTTTAAAATTTTTCTTGGGATAGCCATGATTGATAGTACTACATGAGAATATCCAAGTACTTATGCAACTGACTATATTAGATCAAATAGTTTTACAATTACCTTTTCGAAAGGAAACAATACTCACCATCTTGTTGATCAAGTAAAGTATTTTAATTAAATTTACTTACAACCAGCTTTTATTAACTCGATTAAAGCTAGTTACGTGTTAAGGATCTTTTTCCTTCCTACTAAACGAATTTTATTTATCATTAGGTTAACGGAAAAACTGCTAAATTTTAAGCTATCACTAACATGTTTGTAAAATTCTTATGTTTTTAGTTTTTAATACACAACTTCTAAGCAGTTGTGTTTTATAACGGATGGTTATTAACCAGAGTATATTTGATTGGGTCTTTGTGCTTCCTAGTTAGGTGTAATGAGTCCCTCACTAGTGACACTATTTTGGAAAGTGATTGTACTACTCTTAGGTTATATCCACAAAGCACTGACGTTGTAACATGAAACGTCAGTGATATGTCGTGTTTAGTGGTGTCTTTGTGACTAAAGTGGCTAGTTTTCAATCTGTAAGTCCCTGGTGCAAATCTCATTACACTTATTTAGGCTTGTTAAACCGAATAGTATTACTAGGTGTCACATAAACAAAGTTGTCCAAGGCTGAGTGCATAAATTTGTTTTAGGTAGATAAGTTAAACGCACTATGTTTCGGGGGTAGGTCTTAATTGGTTTGTAAAATTCGACTACTACCAATCGATCTAAACGTCGTGCTGATTACTGTTTGGTGGCCGACGTTACAAAAGTCCTAATCACAGATATCCTGGTTGCTGGCAATATGCATCGAAAAAATGTACATTATTTAGATGTCGATTGACTGGACTGCTAACTTCTAACTAGTGATCATTCATCATTTATCTTCAATATCGATCAAGAAGTAAGAAACGGAAACTTGTTGAAATACATTATACTGAGAATTCTGTTGTAAGGATGGCTTGTTGGCAAACTCAAGGAAGCCTCAAGAATCCCAGAATGAACCGAAGACATTCCATCCAATCACCACTAAAGGACAATTCTAGAATGTCGACGTGTAACTTCCCTATTGGATGACTCGTTGGCAAACTCATGAAAGCCTCAAGTTTATTTATTTATTTATTTAAACACATATATATTGGTACAAAAGGGCACCAGGTACATATGCGCCACACAAGAAAGCCTCAAGTAGCCCAGAAAGAGCCGAAGACATTCCATCCAGTCACCGCTAGAGGAACTTCTTAGAATGTCGACGTGTGACTTCCCTATTGAATGAATAAGAAGGTGTACCTATTGGTTATCCGAAATGATGATTTACTTTCAGTCAGAAAACTATAAGTACATGAGATTTTTGTACTATATTTGACAGTGTGTTGGGAATAACATTCCTGTCTTACTAATCTTCTGTCTTCTTGGGAGGGTTCTAGCATTCGACTGTTCATGTATTACGCGACATACTAAGAATCTAAGTTCAAGATATAACATCTATATAGTATCAAAATATATTGAGTAAAGCTAATAATAATAATATATTCTGAAAATAATAATTTCAGAATTCACATCAGTTTACAGGCATGATCAATTTGATATAAATAACAGCATTTAATGTAGAGAACAAACATGGGATATAAGATTGTTTTATGTTTGCTGGTTCAGTAATTGCAAGCCAATGCATCACCAGGGAACTTTTTTTCTAAAGTGGATAGCCTGATGTTCTTTAAGGTTATTTCCAGTGCCAGAACGAGTTTTTGATAAATATCTAAAACTAGAGAAAGTAAGAATAAAGCAAAGAGCACGAAACAACAAAAAAGTAATGATTGCCGAAATATGCCGGTCAGGTTTACTACTGTTCATGTTAGATATTATTCAAACAAGTTAGAGTTGCTAGTGACAGTGTTAATGTGAAGTGATAGCAAGTAAGTTGTTAAACATTTAAATTTCCTATAATATCACTTATAGACTAAGATACACTTACAGGCGCTAGAGCATTTAATGATAGTGATAATGATAATAACAACCATCTTTATGTTACATAACTAATGGTGATTAGTATAGTTGACTCTTGTAATGAAGTTTTAATCAGTAGTTTCTCTTATTACCATTATTAGTAGTAGTAATATTTACATAATTATTTTACTAATGTTATATCTTTCTTTATATCCATACTTATTTCTCTTCCCATATCTATCAGCATTACAAATTGAATACCCAAGTGAAACGTAATCATCAACGAATGCAAACATGTCGTCTATTATTAAATCATATCAAAAATCATAAATTATCCCCTATACATTCTTTATATAATATTGAATTACTTCCACCATTAACAGTGATTACATTTATTCAAGTCCTGAATCAATTAAATGTAGATTATGTAACTTCTGATAGTGAAGCTGATCAAGATGTTATTAGTTTAGGTATTTATTTAAAATGTCCTGTCATTAGTAATGATTCGGATTTTTATATTAGTATACCTAATCATCAAGTCGGGATCTGTTTCTTACCATTATCTTATATCTCATTTGAACCAATTATAAATACTATCCAATGTGATCTATGCCAAAAATCTCATAAATCATGTGCTTATTTAAAATGTCAAAAATTTTTAATTCATGGACCAGGTTTAAAAAATTTACCTACTATTCAACGTTCATTATTAGCTAGTTTATTAGGTAATGATTATATTAAATCAAATACATTTTTAAAAGGATTACCTATATCTCATGGTCAAACGATACTACTTAATAAAAATGCTAATAAACAAATGAAATTAAAACGTCGTAAATTAATTATATTAAATTTAATTAATTGGTTATCTTATTTTGATTTAGATATTCATAAACCAATTCAATGTATATTAAATAAATATACAAAATTAGAACGTTCTAAATTGTATAATGAATTAATACATAGTATACAGAGTTATCATACAAATCCAGAAGTAGTATATTCAATATTTATGAAACATTTGAAATCTTTAAAGAATAGTAGTATGGATAAGAATGATGAAAATATTGGAGAATCTGATACTTGTAGTATAAGTAGTAGTGGTGGTACCAGTAGTAGTAGTAGTAGTAGTAGTAGTACCAGTTATACAAAAAATTCTGGCACCATTCAACAACAATTATCATCGTCTAATTCATCATGTTCTTCAGAATATGATAGTGAAATTGATGAAGATCAAGTATTGATTATCGACAATGATGATGATAATGATAGACCTGCTGACAATGTTGATGTTGTCCATGAATCAAATGAATATAATCCTATCAATACATTTAAAGTAACATCTTATTGGCCTAATCAATTATTAAATTCATTTCGTAACTATTTAATTCTACCAATATATTTAGATAGTATCTTATCGTATGGTTCAGTATTTATATGTTGTATAGAATCATTATATGATTGTTCATCAATTTATTCTTATCCAATTTATTTAAGATCATTAATCTATAATTTGATCTTAGGCATTGAATCTACGATCACATTACGTTATCCTAATCAATTAATTGGTTTAAAAAAATTGAATCAATTATTATATTATATTACAGAATATGATCGTAAAGGTGCTTTTCATATAAAACATCGTAAAGTATACGTTGAACCAATTCAATTATTATCATTTAATGATCATGAAATGAATAATAATAAAGATTGTCGTTTATTATTTCTTCAACATTATTTAAATCTTGATTATAATCTTATGGAATTAGATAATAATAATTGGTTAATATCTATTGCATTAATTAATGTATTAACTTATAAAAGTCGATGTACACCTTATCATACTACTACTAATTATACTACTTATAATATGGATGATATCACTCAATGTCCTATCTCCCTTACATTTGGTGCTATTTGTATATGTACATATATATTAATCAAACATTATCATTATTCTAATCATTTATCCTATTGTAAACCATTAAAAAAACATTTTTATAAATGTGCCCAGCATTTGATCATCCAATTCAAACAATCATCAATGTATCTATATAAAATAAAGAAAACTATTTATAATACATTAGATATATATAATATACATTATTATGGTCAATTACAAATTATTTATATGACTTTATTAACATTAATACAATTATTAGATAGTTTAGTAATAACAAATAATGATGAAAACCAGAAATCAATGACATGTTTAAATTTTTTACCAATTTATATGATGTTTCCAAGTGGTTACCTATTTCATCAAATTTATTTTTGTATAAATTCAATTCAATCAAATAACAAGAATAATAATAATAAGGGTAGTAATAATAATAATAATAATAGTAATAACAATGATAATAATAATAGTAATGATAATGGCAATAATTATAATAAAAGTAATAATAATCGCAATGATAGTAATAATGATAATAATAATAATAGTAATGGTAAAGATAGTAGTAGTAATAATAGTAATTATAATAGGAATGATAATGATAGTAACAATAATAGTAATAATAATAACAATAGTAATAATAATGAAAATAATAAAAACAGTAATGATAATAGTAGTAGTAATAATAATAATAATGGTAACAATAATAATAGTAATGATGATAATAGTGATAATAATAATGGTAATAATAATAATAGTAATAATAATGATGCTAACAATAGTAATAATGATAACAATAATAATAATGATTATAATAAGAGTAATCATAATAGTAATAATAATGACAACAGTAGTAGTAATAATAATGATGATAATCCACGTTATGATTATGTATGTAATGTAATTATTAAAACATTATTAAATTATCAAAATTATTCTAAACATTATTATAATGATGCAATTAATTTATTTAATCAATATTTAAAAATTAGTTCAAATCAATTAAAGAATGTATCTTATCAATATCCATTAAAACCGGTTTCTATGAAACCCCCCTCTGAAAATGTTATTCATATTAATAATAATAATAATGATAATAAGGATATCAAACAAGATTCATTACCCGTAGTAACAAATAAAAAAACTAATTCAAATCAATTAAAAATGAAAAATAAAAAAAAATTGAAAAAATTTTTAAAAAAAAATTCATCTCAACAACAATTATCCTATCATGAAATAGAAGAGAAAGTTAAAAAAATTATGTTAGAAAATGATTTATTCGATTAAAGGTATGTTATTTTAAAAGGTATAAATTGAAATCTATTTTTGTGTAAACATTTTTTTAAAAAAAAGTTTTGAAAGAAAAAGAAAACAATATATGGTATTTATGAAAGAATTTTTTAGTGTTCTATATTCATCAGATTGATATTGGATATTGGTGAGACAAGCTAATCAAAAGCGTTTAAGGGATTTGAAGGGTACGGCACCAATTTCAGTACCTGATGTTCATGTATGATCGATTCACAGAGAATTTTAGAGTAGACTGCCCCCAAATACCCTGGTAAGGTCGAAAGTGTGGAGAGTCCGCTCTTTTTCTCGAAATGCTCTCAAATGGCCACGCGTATATAGCCTCTGCTAGGGAAGTCCTACTCACTGCCTTCTCATGGCACTACTGTTGTTTACGAAGTTGAGAAGACGAAAAGCGAATGTCCGTTGCTTTAACCGGGTTGGTGGACGCGGAAAGTCCACCTAGGGGAGTTGGAATAGCCTGATTCCAAACCAATGGTGCACATGGGCTCTAGTATCCTGAGGGACCAAATGGTGTATGATTCAATCGTTGGTCACCGGCTACCATGGGACTGCATCTCTTTACAATGCTCCACTGCCTTTTGTGTGGTGCATACATATCTGGTGCCCCTTTGTACCAATATTTATGTTTTTAAATAAATAAATAAATTAGAGCAGACTTGACAATTAAGAAGCTACAATAAATGGGATCACTAAGAAGTTCTTTTATTTGTAATTACGGTAATTAAATGACTTATAGACCTTATGTAGACTACCGTGGTGTTGTCCTTCGTTGTAATATGTGTTAGAGGAAGACGTTTGCTATTATCGAAAACTTTTTCGCTCGATTCAGATTGAGATTAAGGCATTTTATAATAATTGCCGCGAAGTGTATAATAAAAGCACCAGTAACACCAGAAATATCAATATATATAAACTTTGATCAAGAATATTCCACTATTCTCAGCTCATGCATATATACTTTTCAATGTGGTTTTGTTAGAGATATGCTTTAATCAAATATCTGTCCCAGTAGTTACTGATCTTGGATAATTTAATTTCACTATTTGAGTGACATGATTGTGAGTCAGTGAGTAGACCATTCTAGTACATGAGAAGCTTAGTTAAGATGCCTGTATTTGGAGACGTTAGACTGATAATAATTTCTTTATCTAAGATTATTTGCGTTTAATACGTGGTGAGTCGTTCGAAAAAAATAAGGAAGGACTGTATGATGTCATCCTCTGTCGGGGATTTATTTTAGTTTCGGAATTTATGTTACTTATAAGTAGCACATTTAACCAAGCTGACATTTTAGAATATGAACATAGCTGTATGGACACAATCAAAATTTGAGAAGGGAAAATCAACTGGTCATAATGATTGTAATACACATAGTTACGTGACAGTGATTGTTGAAATGCGTAACAACTATTACATACATCAAACAGCGCTTCTATACAAAATATCAGTTAGATTCTTCATAGACGAAAATAAAGAATAAAACCAAATAGCAACTCCAAATTGGTAAAGGGAGCTAATCTCATAGAAACAAATAAAGTGGTTAGGTTTTTTGACTATCTGTCCAAATTGCAGCAGCGAATGAAAGTAAGAGAAGAAATAGACTTGGAAATCTTCATATTTCAAGTTTTTAATGATTTAACGAAATAGTTCAGAATATTTCATCGGAAATAATGACATCGGTAGACTTTACGTACTTACTTGCAAATGTTATCCGTGGAGTAGCATAGGCTGCCAACTCACATTCTCCGTCCTGGACAGTCCTTTTCAGTTGGTATTCATTCTTTTGATATCTACTCCCGATTTCGATGTGTTTCTTGGTCTTCCGCTATTCCTTTTCACTTCAGGACCCCGAATTAGGCTTTGCCTCGTGATACAGTTTGATGATTTCCTCAATGTATGCCCTATCTACCATCAGCGCATTTTCTCAGTTTCCTTCTCAGGTGTAAGCTAGTTTGTCCACTGCTACAGTAGGTCTTTGTTGTTGGTATCCAGCCAACGGATCTGGAGTATCTTAAGCAGACAATTGTTTATAAATACTTATGCCATTTTTATGATCGTTGTGATAGTTTCGGTTCCGTACAGTAAAACTGTCTTGTTGTTCGTATTAAAGATTCTGATTTTTATATTGGTTGGCAAATGTTTTCAGTTCCATATATTCTTCAACTGTAGGAATTCTGTCATTGCTTTGCCAATCCGTGCCTTTATATGTGCATCAAGTCCCTCTTGTTTATCAGTTATGCTGACCAGGAACGTGAAAGTTTCCACCTGTTCCTGAGCTTCTCCATCAAATGTGATTGGGCTGGTACTCTCTGTGTTATGTTTGAATATCTTTGTTTTTTCCTTGTGCATGTTGAAACCTACTGATACAGAGGCTGCTGCTACAATAGTTGTCTTTACCTGCATTTATTAGTATATATGATATAAATGGGCTGCGTCATCTGAGAAGTTCGATTCGTCTAGCTGCATCCAACCTATCCATTATATTCCGTGCTTCCTATCAGATGTGGAGGTTTTAGAAATCCCGTCAACCAACAGAAGAAAGAGAAAGTGGGAGATTAAGCATCCTTACCTGACTCTGGTCCTCGCTAGGAATGGATCTTTCATCTGTTCTCCATGTACCACAGTCCATTGTAGTTCGTCGATTGAATCCCGTATGATGTTGATGATTGTCTCAGGTGCACCACAGAGTAGAAGAAGTTTTAACAAAGTCTTCCTATCTGCACCGTTGAATGCTTTCTCGTAGTCGAAGAAGGTGATGTATAGTCACGAGTTCCACTAAACTGATTGTTCAACGATGATCCATAGTTTTGCGATTTGGTCTGTACATGACCTATCCTCACGGAATCCAGCCTGTTGATCTTTCATTCGATTCATTAGCACTGTTGAAAACTTTTCCCTGCACTAACAGTAATGTGATTCCTCTGTAATTCTCACACTGGCTCGAATTTCCTTTCTTTGGCATCTAGATGAGATATCCTTCTTTCCAATTTGTCAGTGGCACTTGGTCTTGCTCCCAAATATTTCTGAATACAGCGTGGAGCATCCTTCAGTTACCTGTATGTGTGACTTCGGTGCTTCATCTGGTATGTTGTCTGGTTCTGCTGCTTTCCCACTCTAGATTTGTTTGATATCCATGCTGATTTTTCTATCGTTAATGGGGTGACAGCTATAGGAAGGTCTTTGTGCTGCTTCGATGTCCGATAGGTTTAGTGGGACTCGTCTATTTAAAAGTTCTTCAAAGTGTTCTACCCACGTGTCCCGCTGTTTTGAATCTCACCGATCGGCTTGCCTTATTTACACTTGACTGGTCGCTCTGGTTCACCATGTTTCCCTCCTAGTTTCTTCGTTATACCTTATAGTTGTCTGATATTTCCTTCTGTTGCGACATTTTCCACTGTCATCGCCAGATCTTTCACGTATTTGTACTTTTCGGCTGTAATGCTATTCACTTGCTTGTTTGTTTCTGTGTATTCGGCATGTGTCCTGACTTTCTCTGTTCTTGTTCGACTGTCGTTAATTGGTGTCTTCGTGTTCATTCTTGTCGAGGATTTCGATGGATTCATTCTTTATGATGATGTTTATTGCAACACAGTACCTCCTGACACGTTGAAGTTGGTGCTGCATTAATCCCTTTCCAGTTGTTCTCCGTAGTAGTCTCCTCTTCTATGAGTAGATCCTGTAAGGCTTGGAACCTGTTGTTGTGAGCTATTTCGAATTCGTTGAGTTTGTAGGCATCTCAAAGCAAGACTCTGTTGAACTTTTGTAGTGTTGTTTCTCCAAGTATTCACTGCTTCTTTACTTCAGTTTCATCTTGTCAGCCACCAGGCGGTGATCTGAAGCTGTGTTAGCTGCTCTCTTTGTTCTCACGTTTTCCATGGATTTTCTGAATTTTTTAGTGGTGTAAATATGATTAATTTGGTTCTCTGTAACATAGTCCGGTGGGACCCATGTAGCTTTATGTGTGCGTGTGTGAGGGAATATTGTGTCACCTATAACCTTTCCGTTTAATACATATAAATTTGCAAATCTGCATTTATTTTTCTTAGTACATGTCGTTCTATGGTATGTTCATATTTGATGTCTATTTCGACCATGGCGTTTAGGTCTCATCAGGATTGTTGTGTTTCTTCCTGATAACGCATCTACGACCAACTGGAATCTCTCACTGAACTGATCTTTATCGTCCTCATTGCTAGTATTGGCGGATGCATAGCACTGGTTACCATTCATTGTGATCCCTCCCTTCTTTGTTTTGAAGGATGCTTAGATGATCGTGAATCCATGAGATTTTTATCATATAAGTGCTTTTCGTACTTCTTTGGGTAGCAGCAGAACAGCTCCTTGTGTGTGTGGAACATTTTATTCTTGATGAGCAGTGTACAACAGTATCTCTTTTGAATCTAATCCTTCCTGTCCAGTTTTAGTTCAACAGCTATTACATATTCCGAGCACCATCAAGTTGTATCTCTTCATTTCCGTTGCCATTTGATTAGTCCTCCTAGTATCCCACATTCTCCGGACATTCCATGTACCTATATTAATTGTTGCTCTGGTTGTTAGAAAGGGGATTGACCTCGTGACTTCCGAAGAATCTCTGCTTTCACCATGATGCGTAATAATTCTTCTGAACGAAGATCTTTCAGCTTCGAGGATGACATTTAAGTGATTTTTTTCTAGCCAGCGTTCTTTTAGCAAAGTTTTTTTCTTCGGGATGGGGTTGCCGACCCTATGACCAACCCTCCTTCTTTACTCGATCATTGGACCGGCATTAACCCTAGAAAAGTTACAGACGGAATTATTGACTGGAAGTCTTAATAATTAGTTCACCAGAGTTTTCAGTGTTCCATATAAGGTTAGAATTATCTCATGAGTTCTCTGAGCAAAGACTCTTGATTGTTGAATTCACATAAAACCATCATATTGAAAGTTCTTTTTTGCTTGGAAAATTTATGAAACCTTAAATTCACAGTCAACTTTCTCATTGTTTGAGAAGTAAAAAGAAAAGGAATATTTAATCAGTAAGTTACAAAGAAGCCTTATCACATTATAATGTCAAACACCAGATCTATCAATTTTAATAGTTTTGGTAAGGGAGTGTCAAAAGTACCATATTGTTATTCGTAAAATGTGACTACTATGAATTACCGCATAGGTTAATATTTAAATATTTGTAATTATATTAAAGATTAAAATCATCTTTGAATCAAAGGAACAGATAAAACCATAATGGCTAGCAAAATAATCTATTGATCAATTGACTTAATGTTATATCTAGAGCTTTGCTTCTTGCTATACCGCGTACTACTAGACTATTTGAACGATCGAACCCGCAACGTCGGAAAAGAGAAGACAAGACTAGTAAGTAGGAATTTTATTCCCGGAATAGTTTCAAATATAGTACAAAAATCTCATTTATTTAAAGTTTTTGGCTGAAAGTAAATCATCATTTCGGATAGCCGATAGGTACATAAGGGGTCATTCTTATCCATCCAATAGGGAAGCTACATGTCGACATTCTAGAATGTTCCCCTAGTGTTGATTGGATGGAATGTCTTCGGTTTCTTCCGGGCTTCTTGAGTTTGCCAACGAGCCATCCTTACACTTGATAAATAAAAATAATTACTTTGCATTATGGATACCTCGATGTTATAAAGTTGCCTTAAAAGGTAACTTGTAACTTTTGAACAAACTCCGATCCAGAATATTTGTCTAATGTACTGTTGTAATGAAATAGAAATATATATTAGTAAATTATTGATCACTTTTTGTTAACAGCTCTTTGGATTGGCATATATTTCTAAATTTCATTAAATTCAGGAACAATGTATCAAGCGAATTCTATTGCGTAACCGGTTCTGTATAAACTATACACATTGAGTACTAAAACACCGAAATTATTTTTGTTCTTAAAACATAATGACAGGAATGTTGTAGATTGTACACTCTTGCATACAAATGAATCTCCTGCTTCAATTTACAATGATGAGTTAAAAAGGATAATAGTGTCCATATAAAGAAACGATATTGATTCGTTTAGTTATTCAACTGTCCAGTTTTGGAATATTTGGAAATCCTATTGAAATAGTCGTAATCAATATTTAAAGTTCTTAGATAACATGGATTGATTACTTGGTTGGGGTTTAGTTGACTATCATAACTAGTATTTGGAAACTGGGTGACATTACTGGAATTCAATCATAATCGTACAAATCCATTCACTTATTGTCACTTTTTAGATCCTGAATTTTAGAATTATTTTATACTCTTTATTCTACGTACTTATTCTTCTCCTGAAATCATATTGTCTGTGCCTAATGTTTTCTACCACCACTGACACTGTTACCACTTCTATTACTCTGGCATTTGTCTTGATAATATCATTTCGTTGTATTAATATAGTAGGAAGAGTTAAACCTACTTCAGGTCCTTCACTGTTGTTGATTAATTGAATGAGTTTAAATATTCCGTCAAATCTGGTGATTTAGGAATTTCGAAAGAATTATCCTGGCTGTTTATTTAGAAAGTAAGGTAATCTTATTATTAAGTATATTTAAAACTCATTGTACATTATCGTCATACTGTTTTTGTTAGGATGGCTCGTTGGTAAACTAAAGAAGCCCAGAAAGAACCGAAGACATTTCATCCAATTACTGCTGGAGGAACATTCTAGAATGTCGACATGTAGCTCTCCTATTGATTGAATAAGAAGAACCCCCTATGTGCGTATTGGCTATCCGAAATGATGTTTTACTTTCAGCCAGAAAACTATAAATACATGAGATTTTCGTACTATATTTGACAGTGTGTTGGGAATAACATTCCTACTTACTAGTCTCCTGCTTTTGCGACTTGGGAGGGTTCTAGCGTTCGAGTGCTCAAGTTATACGCGACATATTAAGAATTTAATCTCTAGATATAACAGTTTTACTTAAACAAATAATCAGCTGGTACTATTTTTTTTTAGGTAAAAATTGCTCTACAAAATGATGATTTACGGTTCATTGATTATGAGACTGGAGGTTCTGAGTTCGAATCCAGCTTGCGGGATCGTCGGTGTACACTCCTAACGAGTCCCATACTAACACTAAACGACCGTTGAGTGCTTCCAGATTTTCAATAATTGTCTAATATTGATCCATTTTATAATCTCAATCAAAAGATTTGTTAGGATGATCCTAAAAATTTTGCGCAATAGTCATGACGAGTTCAGGAAACATTAAGGAGCATTTTATCCAATCAGCGTTTGACTAGAAGTTTTGCTAAAAATATCGCGAAAATAAAAAGCCACATATAGAGGTTCTGATTGATTGATTACTACACTGTTACTGTGTTTAATAGTATTCTAGAATTTTCAGGAAAACCCAAGGACTTCTAAAATATTATAAAAATCCTATATCTTCTGTACATAAATGAGCCTTTGGAGTAAAGTGCATCCCGTATATTTTGTGCCTTTTCTCTTGTTTTCAAGTCGCTGTGTAGTTCTTGCTTGAGGGTTACAAGACTAGTTTAGGAATCAGAGTATAGCGTTCAATCAGCAAGACTTATCAAGATTATGCTATAGTTTTACAACTGAACAATTCAATTCTCAGTCTTGTTTTTTTTTCTTCTATTTTCCGGAACATGTATCTACAACAAGAAATATCTATATCCATCTAATTAACTATCTAAGATGATCAGTTCTTTCTTTCCTCTTATTTTTTGTTACCTTGGTTTATATTTCATTTCAGGGGGAATTTGTATGTTTCTCACGTTGTTTTTTTTTGTACTCATAATTTCGTAATCTATAATTACAATCGGAATTTTTTTTTAAAATTTTGTATTTGTAAAATGGATAAAAGAAGATTTTTGATTTTTCTTTCGAATTCACTTCCTGCTTATATTTTGCAAATCAATTTGTCTAGCTTTGTTAATAATATTATATTATAATCAGAAGGTGGTTTTTTTTTTGGTGGAGATTTAGTATTTGCATAATTGCTGAGGAGTCCAAGAATAGGACGAAACAGCCGTCTAGTGCTTTCAGGTTTTCCTTGGTAGTCTAGCTTCAATTGATTTATGTTTTCGACTATGCAAATATGACATTAGTTTGTTCTATTCAAAAATATGCTTAATATATACTGTTAAACAGGAATTAATGACAGGTGAAGTATCGGTTGGCTTTCATTGTCCTAATTTTGAAGTATCATAGAGTAGAAGCTCACAATTTTAGTATGAAGTCATACTTAAGATATTCAAATTCCTTAGTGATGAACACAATACTTTGAGACTATTAAAACAATTTATGATAGTTCTTGACTGGCATTCAATACGAGCGGTGATATCAGTCATTTTTTGTTAAGAAGGTCACAAATTATCTTGTTTCTTTTTACTATAGTTGATAAATGATGGTACTGTAGTGAATGACAACACAACAGGGGACAATCACATATATATATGTTCACACAAATGACAGAATATCTTAGTGAAATCTGAGAACCATACAGTAGATACTGCATTTGCAAAATGTCAATCAATTGTCTCAAACTTTACTGTTCCTTCATTTACACACCAATCATTCTCTGTTCTTGTTCTCTTTTCTTCAACCTTTCTAACCTGTCACCAGGCATTTTATTTTTACTATGTCTGAAGATAATATACGTTGTTAAGTTGATTTTAAGTACTTTTAGAGTTATAAAGGTAGTCATCATTCTCAGGTTAAGGTAGATAAAAGCAAGTTGAAACGGTACAGTTGTGAATTCTTTGAATATTAAGCTTTCTTCAGACTTCCTAACTTCTCCTTCTTTCATTCACAGGTGAAATAATAAGGCTGTTTTCTTAATTCTATTACTGATCCAATCTATTTAGTTCGCATAGTTCCAGGTTTCATATTGTAATAAGAATTTTGCAGTCACTTGTAACTAGGAATATTTTAATACGCTATTATAAATCCTAACAACTTTCATCTAAAAAAAATTGAATATTATTCCCGAATGTTAGGACACTCGCTACTAAACCTACTTACTTATGTCTGTTACCCCTCGTGGAGGAGCATAGGCTGCACACCAGTATCCCCCATCTAACCCTGTCCTGGGCAATCCTTTCCAGTTCATTCCAGTTGTTATTCATCCTTTTCATATGTGCTTCTATTTCCCGGCGTAATGTGTTCTTTGACCTTCCCCTTTTCCGCTTCCCTTCTGGATTCCAAGTTAGGTTTTGCCTCGTGATGCCATTTAATGGTTTCTTTAATATATGTCCTATCCACTTCCAACATCTTTCCCTAATTTCTTCTTCAGCTTGAATCTGGTTTGTCCTCTCCCATAAAACTCTGTTGCTGATAGTATCCGGCCAATGGATGTTGAGTATTTTGCGTAAACAACTGTTTATAAATACTTGTACCTTCTTGACGATGGATTTAGTAGTTCTACACGTTTCAGTTCGGTACCTAAGAGTTTTATATTCGATCTATATCTGGATTATAGATATATCCACTATTGAAGCAATTATCTAGAACTTCTTGAATTTCACGGATGGTTTCAGTAAAATCAGTCATTGATGTAAACAAACTCTTAACACTTAATAATACTAAAAAAAGAAACAAAATAAAACATTAAATTCACTTGATATTGTTTGTTTGAATCTTCCCATTGATGTTTTAGGACTGCAACTGGTCAGTCTCTAATTGGCATATGTGCATACTGTGCGTATTGCCTCGATATAGCCTAAATTTACAAACATGGCAAGGAAAGATGGATAGTGGCTAGCAGTGGAATCCAGTTTGATGCTTGTTTCGTCCTATTTGGGAGTCATCGTCTGGATGTACCTGCATCTGAGAGTTGATGTTCACTCTGGGACTCGAACCCAATACCTTTCGCTTCAAACGCCATCGCGTTATTAACTCACCTACTGAATCCTGATATGCACTTGTTTGTGTAATGGGGTGAAGTTTAAATTCACTTGATATTGTTTGTTTGAATCTTCCTATTGATGTTTTAGGACTGCAATTGGTCAGTCTCTTATTAGCATATGTGCATGCTATGCGTATTGCCTCGATATATCCTAAATTTACAAACATGGCAAGCAATGATGGATAGTGGCTAACAGTGGAATCCAGTTTTACTCTCGTTTAATATTAGAAAATTAACATTTTACTCTAAAAATTTATTTTATTTAATCAATATTTTGCATTTTGACATAAATACAATCATAATACATACACGCACGTACGCACACGTTCACAATCACGCACATACATTAATATACTCAATATTACTAATCACTATTAATATAGATATATTTATCTGTATATAATATGTATGTATGTATGTATGTATGTGTTTCTATTTTGTATTATTGCTCACTTTTGTTGGTTACTATTATTTTTCCTGTTTTTCTTTTTTTTTTTTCACTTTTTTCGTTGTTGTTGTGGTGGTGGTGCTGGTGTTATTATGATTATTAATTTCTAAGGAAATTTTCATCACCATCATTATTATAATTCTCTATTAAATATTTTTGCAATAATCTTTGACGAAGATAATTATTAATTAAATCATTTTTCATTAAATCATTATTCTTTTTTATAGGATTGTAGTTACGTTTACCAAATCTAATTTTTGTTGTTGTTGTTGAAGGGGGATAAATAAATAGAAAAAAAAGAAAGAAGAAAAGGGTCAAGATATGTGAAATATTATAGATAATTTGTGATTTTGTTGATTTATTTAAATACAAAGGGATACCAGTTACATATGCTCCACATAAATCAAATGACGTTTGTATGAGGGCTGTGATACTGCCCAGGTGCCCAAACTGAAGCAGGTGCTTTTATTAGAGGGCACACATCCGGAGCCTTTGACCTAAAGGTCCGATCCACAAAGCAGTGGAGCATGGTCAGAAGATGCAGTTCTATGGTAGCCGGGGATCAACGATTGATTCGTACGCCATTTGTTCCCTCAGGATCCTGGACCCCATGTGAACCATTGATTTGGAATTAGGGTTTTCCAACTCTTCTAGGTGCATTTTCCGTGTCCATCAACCCGGTTAAAGCATCGGACATTTGCTTTTCGTCCTCTCGGTTTCGTAAACAACAGTAATGCCACGAGAATTCAGTAAGTAGGACTTCCTTAACAGAGGCTATATATTCGCGTGGCCATGTGAGAGCATTTGGAGAGGGAGAGCGGACTCTTCCCACTCTCGATCGTACCAGGGCATTTGGGGGGCTAGATTATCAGAATGTTATTATTAGAAATGAAATCATATGGCGCTATATTAAAAAAATTCTGGGGTACTATGTTCTTAAGTGTCGATTGTTTTCTTGTCATATGTTTCTCTGTCTTCATAGATATGTTTTAATTAGTTAATTATGTTTGTTAAGTGTATGTACACTTATGTTACTTACTTACTTACCTCTGTTACTCTTAGTGGAGTATAGGCCAACTGACCAGCATTCTCCAACTTACGTGCTTTCCTAAAGATCATTGTGATAAACTCAAGAAAAGTATCATCGTGGTGGTTTGTATATTTCCTTTCTCTTTCGCCTTTTTTTTTTTTAAAAAAAGTATAAGATGGTATTGAAAATCAATGTCATTAGTCCAAATATTCACAGGTACTTGCTAGTTACTGTTGAAAGACTTTTATGAAATTCTTCAAGTTAAATCCTTATAAGACGGGAATTTTGTTACAAGTTTATATATTTTGTACTTAGAATTTTCTCTATAGTTAAATATACGTTATTAAATGAAGAAAATAATATTGTTTAGTTGAGATCATGAGTCAATTGAAGCTACACCACCATGGAACACCTGGAAGCACTGGATAGCCGTTCCATCCCATTGTGGTACTCCTCCGCAGTGCGCATCCACGATGTCGTCTCACGAGATTCGAACCCAGGACCTACCAGTCTCGCGCCAGAGCACTTAACCTATAGACGCGATACTGGTAGGTTCTGGGTTTGAATCTCGCGAGGCGGGATCGTGAATGCGCACTGCGGAGAAGTCCCACAATAGGACTAAACGGCCGTCCAGTGCTTCCAGGTGTTCCATGGTGGTCTAGCTTCAACTGACTCATGATCTCAACTATATAAAAGTTAATTAAAGATATATATTCAGTGAGAGAGTTCATATAAAGTAATCATAACATTTCATATAACATGTTGAATGATAGAAGATAATATACATTATGAGTAATATTTGTTGTATGGATGTATGACAAAGCTTATTTAATAATGTGAATTGTATAGCACAATATCATTTCATTAGTTTTAGCAAGATTTGGTTGACTTAAATTCTGTTTCCACACACATACACACACACACTCGTAGGTGATAGAAAAATTGGCTTCAATGAAGAGGAAAAGAAAAATAGTATCTAGCAGATATTTATCAGTGTTTATCCAAATGATGGTTATTTACATGTTTATTAAAAAACTCTAATCTCATTCAATTTTCCTATAGATTATCACATATTTAAATAGTTAGGTTAATGAGTCAATTAAAGCGCTTCTGGCGAGTTTCATACTAGGACTAAACGGTCGTTCAGTGCTTCCAGGTTTCTCATGCGAGTCTATCTTAAATCGACTCATGAGTTCAACTACTAAATTACTACAATCTCCATAAAATCCTATTCTGATTATACGACAAGTCAAGCAACAATAAAAACGACTCTAAGATCCCCTTATTCATGAATTATATGATCAGTTATTTAATAGTCAAGTTACACATTGGAAAAAAATTGAGATAGATCAATCGTTATCAGTTGTAAATATTATAAATCAGAGGTGAATTAAATAGATTTCGAAAGAACTCCACCTGTAGCTCTTCTAGGGTTACTACCAGTCCCAAATCCTGGTAAGGGAGGAAGGTTGGGCATGGGATCAGAAATCCCATCCCAAAAAAAACAACTTTGTTAAAGAAAGCGCTAATCAGCGGTGGATTATCTACACTTTAAAACAGAGACTGACAAGTTGCAGTCCTAACAAATCGATGGGAAGATTCAAACAAACAATACTAAGTTGAATTTAAACTTCACCCCATCGCACAAGCAAGTGGCTATCAGGACTCAGTGGCCAAGTGGATAACGCGATGGCGTTTGAAGCGAGGGTACTGGGTTCGAATCCCAGAGTGAACATCAACTGTGAGATGCAGGTACATCCAGCTGACGAGTCCCAAATAGGACGAAACGCGCGTCCTGGATTCCACTGCTAGCCTCTATCCATCTCTGCTAACTTTAAAACATCGTTTAGAATTACTTATAGCCATGACCAAAATTGAGGTATTGCGAATGTTATCTTAAAAAGAAACAATCTCCAGAATCACTTTAGAATATGAATAATTATTGATTACATTTTAATTAGTGTTCAATTGTTATGTAATGTTATGTACATTTAAAAGTTAAATCATATTTTTAAAGTCACGTGGTATTGTTTACTTCTGACTTCCCATTGTTGCATAGGACTGCAATTGCACAATATCTTATTGGCATATGTGCAACCTGCGCGAGCTGCCTCGATATAGCCTTAAGTCACAAGCATTCTGAGCAAAGATGGATAGTGCCTACCGGTGATATCCCAGACAAACGTTTCGTCCTGTTCGGGACTCGTCAATTGGATGTACCTGCATCTCACAGTTGATATTCACTCTGGGACTCGAACACAGTACCGTTCCCTACAAACGCCCTCACGTTATCCACTTAACTACTAAGTCTTGATAGCCACTATCCATCTTTGCTTAGAATGCTTGTGACTTCCGGAAATATCGAGGCAGTCCACACAGGATTCACATATACCAACAAGAGATTGATCAATTGCAGTCCTACACAACAATGGAAAGATACTACCAAACAATAGCGAATGAATTTAAACTCCACTCCATTGCACAAACAGGTAGGTACCAGTACTCAGTAGCTAGTTGGATAAGATGACGCGATGAGATTTAAAGCAAACGGTACTGAGTTCGTGTCCCAGAGTGAACATCAATTGTGGGTAGCAGGTACATTCAGCTGATGAGTCCCTAATAAGACGAAGCGTTCGTTAAACTGGATTCCTCCAGTTCATTATCAATAACATAGGATGTGACATAAATATATATTGATTTGAAGGATAGAATGAAGACATGGAAGTCACTGTTGTGGTGGGATTGTGGTGTGCTCTACTTATATCTATATAAGTAGTATATGACGATGGACAGACATAGAATGTATTTTGGCAAAAGATAGACGGGGAAAGAACAGGAACGAAGCACAATCTGTACGGAAATGCATGAACAATGAAATCAGAGACTATGGACTGATATTTACAGAAGGAACAGTCAAAATTAAGACAATTGATTGATAGTTTGCAAATTAACTATTTACTGTATGGTTATCAGAATTTAGTGAAATAGTCTGTAATTTGTGTCTAAATACATCCGATTGTCCCCAACTAGTGTTTTGTTCACTACAATGGTATTATTGTATATAAGGTATAATTCCACACTTGAGGTACGTTATGTTCTGATAATTCATCTACATTAAACAATCCGTATTTAAAATGTATATAATGATTCCTTGAAATATTCAATAAAGGCTTAACATCTATGTTTTATTATTGGAATGAAGACTGGGAATAGAAAACAAGAGGTATGTTCTGAATTAATAAGGGCTAGAGTCTCGATTTGAGGTTAACTTTAATAGTTAATGCGTGTAGTTGGTTGACTCTCAGAACCCTAACGATAGCCTAAGTAGTATCCGTGGGTGTGAAGAAGTATTATTCAGGATTCTAATTATCAAATCTAGCACGTGATGCTATCAACATCTCAGATCTAACAAAATTTGTATAAGTATCAGTGATAAATTAAATATTTGAGAAAATAATTTTCAAACAATGAATGAAATAAGTGGTCTAGATAATATGTGTTATATCTTGTGACGCGCCAATCAAAGAAACAGTGATTTATCAATCGGATCAATGACGCGTAAAACCGCAACTAGCAGTCTAGAGTACTTATCGATCCCTTCTTCCTGCTTAACCCTTTCTGTTAAGTCCAGAACACCAAATTCATGAGTCAGTTTAAGATAAACCACCATGGGAAACCTGAATGTACTGGACAACTGTTTCGTCGTAGTACGGAACTCTTCAGCAGTGAGCACCCACAATCCCGCAGGTGGGATTCGAACCCAGGATCTATCGGTCTCGTGCGCGAAAGCCTGACCTTTAGACCACCGAGCCGGGATGAAACGGTATTAATGTCTAACTTCAACCAATCCGTGAAATTGTGCTTCCGTCCATCAGTGCTTCCAGGTTTTCCATGGTAGTCTAGCTTTAATCAACTCATGAGTTCAATTATTATAATGATAATTACTCATAGGAGCCAAACAAAAACTGAAAAATAGCCAAAACTATTTAAACTAGTTAGTGGGTTTTTAAAATCCTATTAATGTCAACAAGTCGATACATTTTATGAGACTATAGAATTGCATTTGTTAAGATCTTAAATAATTACGAATTTTGTCAGCCTATTTAAACAGTTTCAGAACTTCAGAATTACTTGTAATCATACAAGCATGTTTTGATTTCTGTAAATAATTATCAAAAGGGGTTTTTTGTGGAGATTTAGTATTTTCATAGTTGAAAGCG